ATCGCACATTAGTCGCTCATAAGTGTCTCACTTGCCCCAACTTACAGCCTGTCTCTTTTACTTGGAGCCCACATGAATCAACTTGACACCCAACCTTCTAACTACTACCATACCTAGCTAGGCTATGTCACCAATTTCCGATCAACTGAAGAATAATAAGATAATAGTCGGACATCGCATAACCGAAGAATTGTGAAAGATATAATCAGAGCAGATAATGTGGGCAAAATGACTGCTATTATTTAGCAAAGTGTTATGGTGATGAACTGTTTTAATGATTGTGATTAAATCATCTTTGATACAAATTTTTACTCATGAGCCATCTTGTGAGGCTGAGATGTATCGATTAACGTGTGAGTTTGGTAGATAGTTAAGGGAAAGTTAGTTAATAAGTGTTAATGTTTAAAAAGACAAAAGAAAAAGAAACTTTTTTTTTTCTCTTTGACTGGTTGTATATTAATTTTCCGCCAATTAAAAAAAAAAAATAACCAAAGAATTGTTAAAGATATAATCAGAGCAGATAATGTAGACAAAATGACTGCTATTATTCAGCAAAGTGTTATGGTGATGAACTGTTTTAATTATTGTGATTAAATCATATTTGATACAAATTTTTACTCATGAGCCATCTTGTGAGACTGAGATGTATCGATTAACGTGTGAGTTTGGTAGATAGTTAAGGGAAAGTTAGTTAATAAGTGTTAATGTTTAAAAAGACAGAAGAAAAATAAACTTTTTTTTTTCTCCTTGACTGGTTGTATATTAATTTTTTGCCAATTAAAAAAAAAAAAAAAAAAAATCAGGACATCACGGACCAATATTTGAGTTGTAAATAAATATTTTAATTTCTTCTTATATTTTGAATATGTTTCATAATTTGGCTAGCAGCTGGGTTGTGTGTTAGCAAATTTCCCTTTTTAGATCTAAAAATCCCTTCACGCGAACGTCAATTCCCTAATAAGCTGTAAATGGCTGTGAATGAATGACGCCACGAGACGAGAACTTTTCAGTGTATGCCAGATGACGCTGTTTTTCAAGCGCATGGTAGTCAGCTAAATTTTTCCCCCTTTTAGGAACTTAGGCCTGATGGCCTTCATTGCCGATAGATCCATTTTTCCGATAAGTACACCATTTCAATTCTAACTTTGAATTTTAAAAGTTGTTTTTTATTTAGTGATGCATGTTTTTTGGTTTTAGAGTATTTAATATGTGAAGCAATGTAGTCACCTAAGATTAATTTAAATCATATTCATAAACTAATAATTACACACTCATTTACTTAGTATGTGCGTGATAAGTTTTCACTCTAAAAATCCCAGCCAAATTTTTATTGAGTAAATTAATAATTGTTTTCCCTAAAATATGCTAACTGTCAAATTTGCTTAAAATTGTCTTTTTTGTAAGGTAGGTGCAATACTGAATTTTAGAAGATTCTAATGTTATTCTAATTATTGATTTAAGTGTAAGAATTGTATTCTGTTTCAATTGTCGTCAAGATTTTATTTTAATACATTTTTGTTTATAATTCAGGGATGAGATTTTTCCGCTTTTTAGCGGATTTCCGCTTTTTTCGCTTTTATCTCTTGAATTTCAGCTTTTTTTTTTTTTATCAAAAATTCAGATTTTCTAAAAATTTCAAATTTTTTAATAAATATTCCGCTTTTTCAGAAAATTTACCGATTTTCGAAAAGAAACAGAAAATTTAAACTACATAGCTACAAATCCTTCCTCATTTTTACTTATTTTAGCTATTTTCTCCCCTTTTACATGAAGCAAATGAGATTTTCCGCATTTTTACCCGCCCGCCAGATAGCTCCGATTTTCGTAGTTCAAACGACGCTGCTTCTGACAAGCCTATTAGAGGTCCCAAGCCTGTAATCTGCTAATATCTCGATTCTTATTCACACGATTTTAATATTTATTTATTATTTTCCTAACGGCAGGCACTGAACTTTAACGTTCTTCACCGAGGATGATTCCAGAAATGTTACTCATTTAACGTTATCCAGTGGGCACCTGTGAACCTAAGTCACGGAGGCGAGCAACATTACCCACGCCCAGGGCCGGATTAACCTATAGGCACACTAGGCACGTGTCTAGGGCCTATGAAAAACTTGGGAGAAAAAAATTTGTTGACAAAAATAATTTAGCTTTAAAAACAACAAGTGTATTTTGCACAAAATTATGAAGATACAAATAAAAATATAATATTTTTCGGTAATAAATTATTTTGCAGAATCTTATGATCTAGTATATTACTTTTTTGGATTCAACAAAATCTTGTATTATGCTGTTGAATTCCAAACTACGCAAAATGTCGTATTCAATAGACATAAGTGCGAGCGATGCCAAACGATCTTGATTCATTTTTGAATGCACATAATTTTTTATCATATATTTTGAAAAGAGGGGAGGAGTGGGGGAAGGAGGGGATGGCCCCAAAACGGCTATGCCTAGGGCCTACGAAAAGTATAATCCGGCTCTGCCCACGCCACACTGCCACATACCCGTTTTACAGAGTGGGCCACATTCACACAATAGAGAACAAAACACAGAGTGAAACATCCATGCCCTGCCCCGGATTCGAACCAGCAGCCAAAGGCTTTGCAGTCAGGCACTCTAATTACTCGACCATCGGCTGACACGATTTTAATATCAAATATAGCTTTTCAGATTTGCGTGATTTAAAAGTTGTATGTTGCGATTCTTATTCACGTGATTTGAATATTGTACGTTGCGATTTTTATTTACGAGATTTAAAAATCTGATATTGTGATTCGTATTTACACCTTTCTAAGACCGATTCGTATTCATGCGTGTTTAAAATTCAATGTCTTGATTTGCACATGTGATTATAATATCAAACATTAATTTTCGTATTTATACGTGATTTAAAAATAAGACATTAAAATTCGCATTCACGCATTCTAAAAGTTATGCATCATAATTCTTATTTATGCTATTTAAAAATTATTCATCATGATTCGTAATAACGCGATCTAAAAATTATGATCGTGATTTGTATTTACACGTTTTGAAAATTCTATATCCCAGTTTGTATTTTCTCATTTTCAAAATCATATATCTAGTTTCATGTTCATGTGATTTCAAAATCCATAATTGTTATTCATCTTCACGCAATTTTAAGATCAACTATCGCGATTCTTGTAAGAAGTAAAATTTAAAAAAAAATTAGTTACTATAAAGGTGACTGTTTTTCTAACGACGATTATTAGTATATGTAGGATTTACAGCATCTGAGAAACTGGAAGGGAATATATTCAAAACTTACATTCTGGGCTTGCAAGGAAGAAAAAGTAGGATTTGTCACAAGATGTTTGAAGATGGACTAACGACTAAATATAGCAAACGTAAAAGATATAGCAAACAAAAGCAATCACATAAAAAGGGATTTAATTTTAAAAAAAATTGGGGGAAAAAGAGTTAATTCATCATCAAAATTTTATTTATAATTGCTGTTATTTATGCTATAAAATGCAAAATTCTTATCAAATAAGAAACAATTATCTAAACAGTTGCTGATTGTCATGTAATTTTTCAAACTAAAATAGCAATTTTTGTATGTTAAGGAGTTACTATATATTTCTACTTCACTGTTATTGATATGTTTCAGAGGGCTCTAGTTAGATTAGACTATAATATGAACATAATGATTCGGTCCATTGTTAAAGTTTTTTTTCCCAATATAATTTAAAAAGTAATATTACTGATATATTTGCTATAAATCACATAACAGTATTTATTAAAAGAAATGAAATATTAATGTATATTCTCAGTAGTTTTAATTTGCTAAACCAGGTAGTTTTTCAAGTAATAATTGTCTCTTATGTGAACTGAGGAAAAATATAATTTCCAGCTTTATTTTTTCAATTCGTAATTTTTATTTTCACTAAATGTTAAGTATCAATGTAATCATTTATATAATAATAGATTAGTACACAATTGCATGCCAACACATTATTTATTATCTTAAACTGTCTGGAATTTATTATTAAAGGGTTGCGCTTGCGTAAAATTTACTAGTGTAGAAATTCAGCTTTTTGCCTTTTGGCTAATCTCATCCCTGATAATTCTAATTGTCGTTCATTATTTGATTGTGCTTTATACCATTTTCTTAACTATTTATGAACCAGAAATATGATAATGCACATGCAGTCCAGTATCTTGAAGATAATGTATAATCCCTCTGAATAACTAATTAATTAATTAAACTAAAGGAATTAAACATTAGCTTTCTAATGTTAAATCAAAATTTATTATACACAAACACAAAGTTAATTTCGTTAATTTTGCATAATTAATCACAACGCAATTCTTACTTTTAGTGATTTGTTGATCAGATTTCCATATGGTCTTCTTATATATCATTATTTTATAAAATGATTAATGCTAATGTAAGAATATCCCAAAATATTTGTTAGTTAAAATTGAAACTTAAATTAAAACTACAAAAATCCAAAATATAATAGTTGCTAAAAAAATTAGAAAATTTGTATGTTGTGGCTTTCTTACATAAGAAAGAAAGAAGTATGTGATATGCTTATTTTTAGTGAGAAGGGATGAGGGGCAGTAAAAAAATTGCCAAAAATATGTTTCTGTAATATTTGAAGGTCTCCTAATTATTAAAATTGTTTAATGGTAAAATTATCTGTTTTAGGTGGCCATGGTTGAAATCCAACTCAGCAAAGAAGTACCGGAGGAACTGCTAATTACATTTTGTGTTTGCACTACCCTTTTAGTTGCGGTTCACATGCTGGCTCTGTTGATATCTACCTGCATTTTACCTCATATTGAAGCTGTAACAAGTATGCCCTGTTCTATATCTGAATCACCCCATGAGAAGTTACACTGGTACATAGAAACTGCATGGGCATTTTCTACAGTGTTTGGAATATTGTTGTTTCTCTTGGAAATTGCTATTTTATGTTGGGTGAAATTTTATGAATACAGTTTTACGGCTGCCTGGTGCACTACCATTGTTTTGTTTCCTGTTGTCCTTATTTTGCTTGCTTTTGCCATACATTTTTATCGCACGTTAGTCGCTCATAAGTTTGAACTCTCAAAGCATGGACTTAGAGAATTGGAATCTTTAGCCAATCGACTTCATGGTGATAGCTTAGACAGGAACTCGGAACATTCTGTTCTTGCTGTCTAAGTTAATATGACTTGAGTTAGTTTTCTGTTACATGTTATTAACATTATTCTTATTGTGATAGATATAATTAGATGTTATTTTACATGTTATTTTTACTGGTTTGTTAATTTAATACTTATAATTTAATATTTAAAGTTTTATAATTCTTTTTTTTGCATTAAATGACTGCTATTCTATATAACTAGTAAGACTTATAGAAATGTAAAATCAGTGATCTGCACAGTGGCTATTTCCATCATTAGTTGAATTTATATCTAAGTAATAACAACATCAACAAGAAAACAGATTTATTAATCTGATGTTCTAATTTGTGTAGTATTTAAAAAAGAAAAAAACCATATTTATGATAATAATAATTTAAATTGTTGTTATTCGTTATTAATAAATTTTTTGGCAGTGTGTACTTTTACATGAGAACTATGCATTTTGTGGATTGAATTACAAGTTTCAAATCAAAATTTCTGATCTGACTCTTTTGTGATCTGATCAGTGGCTGTTTCCATCATTAATTTAATATATAACTAAGTTATAACAACAACAGCAAGAACACAGATTTATTATTTATTAATCTGACATTCTTGTTTGTGTAGTATTTAGAAAAGAAAAAAAGCGTATTTTCCATATTTATCCTAATAATAATTAAAATTGTTGTTATTCATTAATTGAGAAATCTTTTGGCAGTGCGACTTTTACACAAGAACTATACATTTTGTCAATTGAATTACAAGTTTCAAATCAGAATTTGACAGAATCACAGGGAATAAGATTCTTAAATAATATTTTCGATTATTTTTCTTACAGTATTATAATTTGTTCAATATTATATTATTGTAAGAAACAAGAACACTAATAAATGACGAGACATCCTCCGGCCTGTTGTTATCCTTCTATTATTCAGTATATATATAAGCTAAAGCCACATAAATATAACTGACATAACGAATAAATATTTTAATTATCCCTATTTTCTTAAAAGTGATATTTCTGTCATGAGTAAGAATTTAATTTTATGATTAAAAATTAGTAAATGAATTAAATTGGTTTAATTTTATTGTATTATTCATTACTTTAGGACTAAATATCAGAATATTGCTGACTGAAATTGTAAACATTTATTGTAATAAACTATCTTTTTTAGCATGCATCAAACCATTTATTACATATAATTTAAGCTTTAAAAAAAAAAAAAATTGAACCATGCATAATATATTAAAATATTTCTCAAAGCTTCTTTATTAATCAATTATTTAATTATATATGTATTAGAAGATGAGATTTTTTTAAAGAAATTTTTTTTCTTTATTTTAACACTTTTATTTCTAAAGAATCTATTTTTTTTTACTGTCTAAATTTTTACTATGGAACTAGGCTTCTCTTTTTAGAATTATTGTTCAGGGTTTAGTAAGAATTTATTTAAAAAATTATTTGTTCAGGATATAGTAAGAATTTATTTAAGAAATTATGAACAAATATTTTATAACTTTTTTTTCTTAACATATTTTTTCTGATTACAAAGGCTATTAAATTTTAGAATGACAATCAAACAACCCATGATTCTTAACCAATAATTTACTAAAAATTTAATTCATGCTGTAAGACATTTGTGTTCTGAAGCCAGTGATGCATTATGATTTTTATCTCTAAATAGCCTCTTTATGTAGGCTATCTAAACATGCCTCTCCATCTTTATCAGGCTTATTGATTATAGACTAAATAATAGCCTTTCTATGTTGTCAATGCAAATTAAATTAATCTCAGGTAAGAAAATTTTTTTTTTCCGAGCTCTACTTCTAAACCTGTGAGATAATAAAGGAAAAGGAATTGACTGTGATAATATATTTTAGAAAAATGCTGTAGTGTATAGGGTTGGCAAGGTTTAGGACAGAATGGAATAATCCACAGTTTAAACCGTCCTGTCCAAAACTCCTTTGTCCAAAACTGTCTTAAACTGTCCAAAACACTTTTACTCAAATTATGTCTAAATTTTATCTGAACAAATATTTAAGAGGTAAAATAAACATAGAACGAATAACATATTGATAATTAAATATACTGGAGAATATTTGTTTTTAAAAGTATAATGTTTTATTANAAACCAGTTTAGGACGTCCAAAACCCCAACCCTGCAGGATAAAACTTAATTACTATCAATTGTTAGTTGAACACCATTTAAAAATATTCTTATAATATGTATTAAAATATTGTACATGTATATTGAACACATACAATATTTAGATTTTGAGATAAAATTTTTCTAAATATAATAAGTCTTGAATATATATATATATATTTTTTTGCTTTCTCTATAATAGTGTTTCTCAATGAGATTAAAATAAATATATCTAATATAGAATTAGTTATAGGAGAGCAACTTGATTGTTTAGAGATAGAGATAATTGTTTTAGTTTAAATAAGGAGTTGTTACTTCTGTGTTAAATTTTCTTTTTTTTCTTCTTTTAATATGAAAAATAATGTACTGTTCTAAGGGAGGAAATGCCAGTTTATAAAGCAGGTAATTAATCAAATTTGATATTTAAATATTAGAAATTTAACATTGCACAGTTTTTAATTAATTAATTTATTTTAAATTTATGCGGACTTTAAATTATAATGTATCCGAATCTATTTTTTAGCAACGCTTTAATTTTATATTGATAATGTCTTTATTTTACATTTAAATAATTTCTTTGTATATAAAAAATAGGTATTTTTTGAAAAAGGTAGAGGGAATTTCATTTATTAACAACTTTTGCATTTCACTCATGCTATTTATTTTTTCACTTTTATGACTTACAGTAAGACCTTGATTATCCGAGCTAAATGGGACCGCTAGTACCTCGGATATCGGAAATCTCGATTAATAGAAACCATGTATAAAAACCTTTCCTGCTTGCAAATTTAACTACTTTTAAAGTAAAAAACAATAGAACGTTTTTTAAATGATAAAAATAAACATATATGAACTTATGTTTCACAGCTAAAAAGATTTAAAAAGGAAATCAACTCTAGTAGTAAATGTTAAAAAGTAAAATGGAATTTTTTTTAACATATATATATATATTAATTAAACTAAATTAATGATTACGATGAATAATTTAATGAAACGTGGATGTTTTATTAGAATTATGTTAAATTCTTTATTCAGTTATTATGTTTTACAGCCAAAAAGAGAAATAAAAGGGCGAATATTGATATCGCCATGAGTGACCAACTGTATTATGATGAATGGAGGGCTAGACCTCGTAGTCTGGCTCAAAAATACATTGTTGAGGAAGGTTTCCCTGTTGATGATAGCTTTAAACTGGAGGTTCAACTTGGTTATGAGTGGAGGGTTTGTGAATTAATACGATTCCACAGTCTTCCAAACATGTATATTTTGCTCAAATCTTCTGAAAACACGTCAGAACCTGAACCAATCCCAAAAAATATTCTGACTCGCGAAGCTTTCATGCCGGATGAGGAATCGAATTGTGGATATATATATATACATAAATTGATTGAATAGTTTCTGGTAAATGAAATTAAGTTTAGTTTTTTTTATTTTTAAATTTTATTTATATATCATTTTCTTGTGAATGCTACAAAACTAATATTGTTATAAAATATGTTTTGCTGGTATTTATTTAAAAATTGTAATGGTTTGCTTTAAAAAATGTTTAAACTCTTTTTGTGCATATAGTATGGTATAGACATCAATTTAATAGCTTTATTTATTTTCTGAATAGATTTTCATTTCATCGGCTTTATTTATTTTCTCTAAAACCTATTTTAAAATATAGTTTATTTACCTCAATTTAAACCACTGTTCTTTATGAGTTTGTGTTTAATAGAACATATTTACTATTTCTAAAGAAGTTTTATGTTTAAAATAGTATTTTGGCTTAATGTTCATTTTATGTTAAACAACATAGCTAAGCTCTAAAAGTTAATTTAAAATATTTGTTTAATTTGTTTGTATATGTGTAAAAATGAATTTCATTCTCGTAGAGTTCATTTATATGTTCAAAAAATTGTTTTATAATTTTTTTTAGTTTATTTATATTAGTTTAAAATGTCATTCTTTATAGATTTGTCTTCAACTAACAGCAGTGATTTGTTCAAATATTTTTAGCGTAAATAATCTTTTGCTTAATTGACTATACAGGGCCAAAAATATATAAAGATTTAAATTCATTGTTTTTTTAATTTCATTAATGAGTAAAAGTATCCATTAATGATGGTTTTTTAAATATAAAATCTTAACTATATTATTTTAAGAACCATAAATTTTTTCTTCAAGTAATTTAAAATGAAGTAAATGAATAATATATATACCAGTGATTCCATTTATGAGTTATAAAGCATTAAACAGGGCTCGAAAAACTGCCCGTCCTCAGCGGTCAAAAGGTTCTCTCGGACAACAAATTTCTCGAATCCGACGTCCGCACGGACGGCCATTTAATGATATATATATATATATATATATATATAAATGTTTAAAGACTTAAATTCTTAAACTGTCAATGCATTTATTTCGATTTTATTACCTTTTCCATTTCAGCACTGACTGATTTTAAGTGCTATTTATTCTTATTTTAAAATTGCATTCATTGATTTCATGTGTAAAAATGTTTAATTTTAACTAAATTGCTAAACAAGAATCTTTTATTTTAATCTGACTTTAAAATGTAATTTTTTCATCATATGCTGTAAGAAAATTATTTGTAAAATAAAAATGAAAGGAAGATTTTTATTAGCGTTATTTAAAAGTGTCAAATTTTATTTTTAATGTGTACTTAAATAATGCCATTTTTTGTAATATACTGTAAGTAAATGTTTTGTATAATTAAAATAATTAGATTATTTTCATTCTAAATCTTGTTTACATAATATTTAAAATTATAATCTTTTCTTTTTAAAGTAACTTTAAATAGATAGTGTTAATTTTTATTGTCATATGTTGTTTTAACGTGTTCTCTTTTATTCTCTAATAAATTTAGCCTCGTGATTTATACAGTAAATGAAATTTCTCTCTAGCATTTTTTGTTGTCATATGTTTCAAAGTGTAGTCTTTTAGTCTCTGTTAAATTTAGGAAATTTCTCTTTTTAGCATTTTCTAATGTCATATTTTGTTTCAAAGTGTTGTCTTTTATTCTTTTGTAAATTTAAATCCATGATTTAAACAGTAAATGAAATTTCTCTCTTTAGCATTTTTAGAGATTATAAGAGTAAAGTAATATTTCACTTAACTTAAATGTTTGAGAAAAATAATTTTTCAAGCACCATATTTGAAAAAATTAGAGCAATTCAAATTATGCACTTATTTTGTTACAAATACTATATATGTATATTGTATAAACTGCGAATATTTTTAAAAAATTACATGAAGTATATATTTTTTAAAGTGGTATTATTTATGAATGTTGTGATATGATGTATATTTTATAATTATAAAATAAAAATTAGAATAAAAAAATCCTAGATTTTTTTTAATTTTTTATTTTTTCCTATTCAGTGTTGCATAAAGTGTCTAGTCATTGTATATATCCCCTAAAATCAACTGGCAAAGTATGTAATGATTAAAACTTTGCACATTGTCTAAAAATTTTATAGAATGACTAATGAAAAGACATTCAATAGAATGACTAAACAACGTTCGTATATATTATGTCTCATATTTTATGCATAAAAAATTTCGGTCAGAATATGAAGAGTGTATAATAACTTTATGTCATACTTTGCCATGAAATGCTAGATTCCGGTAAATCATAACATGGACGGTAACATAAATGTACCAATGATTATTTATATCACTGGTGAGCAAATTTTTTGTTGCATCTATATAACTACTTGATTTTCAGGTGTGGGGATTTCAAATTTGAAATATATTTTG